CGTGCCATTGGTCCTTAGCCTCATGGGGTGCCAGCTGAGCGCTACTAACGGTGCTCTATTTGTAATGTAGCCTTTCTATACAAGCCCAAAATTCATAAAGGACCCTTGTGCTTCGACTGTCCCAAAGGCCATATACCCATGCTCCATTCACCTACTTAGTGAAAGGCCTCCGACCTAATGCTTCATTCAACCTTTGGCATTTGCACATTGACTATGCCTATGAGCTCCACTCGAAAAATGATAGAGCACTCCATATCACACAAGATGCCACTAATCGGAACAGTACGTGTAGTGTGCATGCAACGAAACGTGTATATGAAGCGCACAGTGTCACATAGCGAAATTTGACAGGCTACACGTTTGGGGCGTTGGTCTTTCAGAATGCACCACGATGCCCTCAGGTCATCCAGTGTGCCTTGTGGCAGCCTCACTCTATTTCAGTGGCCGATGTATAGCATATTCATTGCATAATACACATATACACCATATATGCACATTAATGGTCATTGCCCTCATTACCTAGTGCAACAGCAAATCGCAAAACAGAGCAGCAACTTCGAACTGCCACCAAACAGGGCTATCGAAATTCGCAGGTTCGGCTTGGAAACAGCCAACCACAAGCCTCACATGCCCAATAGCAATTTGCTGCATTACACGGTGTGCATCAACGGGAAGTATCATGCTATTGATTATGTCATGTTCTAAAGCATCTACATTGATGCAATTGGACAAACCCAAAAAACCAACAACGCCCCCTTCCCACCACGCCACCAGAAAGCAGCACTGCATGACTCCTGCCACACACTATGGATATTCCATTCTATTCTATTTGCTTATATTCCACATTAGGCGCAACTCTACATCTTCACAACCATGGCATCCACCAAATGTACATTCGCCCGAGGTTCTCCCGCGAAGTGGCCTCCTCGATCAACCGATGGGCATGGCTCTCGTACGACAGGGCCAAAGATGGCACAGATTTGGCACCCAGCAATGTGCCATTGACGCGACCCTCCATCGTCTCCAGGGCGTCCTTTGCGTGCGGGTTTTCAACCTCGTCCTCCCCTTGTTGACGACCTGACCACTCCACCAAGGGGTCGTGCAGGAAGCTCTCCACACAAGTTAGTAGGGCCTCGCGATTCTCGCGCAGAACCTGCATGACAGGGCACCGTACAACATCAAGTACTTGCATACTGGGCAAAACATTGCGCCCATCAAACTATTGACGAAATACTGCATGATGACGCCTGTCATAGCTTGACCAGAAAATTATTGCAAAACGCAACCCCAAACCAAATCCTTCCAGTTCTAAAGACATTGGATGGTCAAACCCATAAGAAAGCTTAAATGTTCCATTCGGTTCAAGGTAAAATCTGGGCATCCACAACAAATTGCTGAAGTGCTTATACACAGTGGATCAAGTGCTGATGAGACAGCATTCATGGTGTCAAATTTTAGATGATGGGGTAGCCTGCGAAACGCTGGATGGATCTACGCACCAGAGGGGCCACGTTCACTTGACAAAAGCAGCTCAGAACTGTAGAACATGGCAGGACGAATCCCAAGACAAGACACATGGACAAGACCACAGTTGGCTCAAGGCCTGCTGTCACCTTAGCACGGCAAAAATGAACAACACGGCGGAAGTGCCACAAGCTACGAAATGTCAAACCTTCAAGTCCTCCCTGCATATGGCTAACCCCTGCGCTACTGAATCGGAAACAATTTCTAAAATACGATAACGCTCAATCTACCGCCGAAGCAATGCGCTCATATCCAGCGAACGGGATACAGACAGTGCCTTCTATAAACAATTTCAGCACAGGCAATCTAGCCTGTATGCTTGGCCACCAATTCACCTGCAAGGATATCTCTGCACATTTTCTGTAAACTCCCTCCACGCCCGACACGCCAAAGCCATCGATCATGTTTTGTGTCAACCGGAAGGGCACAATCTCGGGCACTGTGAGGACAAGCCCCTTGTCAAAGAGCATTCCGAAATCCACATGAATGCAATCCCCTGTTGTCCCATCGACAGTAATATTCTCGCCATGTCTATCCCCGAGCCCAATACTGTGGCCCACCATCGACCAAACAGCCGTTGAGCGGGTGAAATTCAGTCGAGCATTGAACCATGCTGCAGGGGAGGGAAACTCCAGCGCAAACCATTTATTCATACGAGGAGGAAACCTCTCCAGGAGAACCTCCAGCCATTCGGCTTTGCTGGGTCTGTCTATCAAGCTCCTGGTGCACAAGCACAAAACGTATCATTTGTTGCACGCAGCTATTGTTGCCAGAAACTGGGTCCAGGTAAGGAAAAATGCACACAAGTACACTGTTGAGGACGCAAGCAGAGAGAAAAGAAACAATATCCCACATGCATTGCTGGACTGCTCTGATTGGCAGCAGCGCAAACAAAGCGAGCGCACACCATACGCAAAATAGCATAGATGACACGGAACTCCAACCACCCAATATTGAATATCTGTCAGTACGGCACTTCGAGGTTTTGAAATTTGGTTCATCCGATTTTACTCCATCAAGAAACACAACGCTTGGATCTCACGCTACTTGACACTGCAAGAAGTGCCACATCTGGCACATGACGACTCACTTGTATGTCTTGTCAATCCATTTCCTTGTACCGTCCCGGCCACCATTGAACAATCCCTCTGCAGTGTACAGCCCCTCCGTGATGGACCTCAAACTCTTCAAATTGTTGATCCACTCTAGTATGCCACAGTCTTCAGTCAAAGGTAACACAGCAAACGTCCTCAATCTCAGTCTCCTGCGGCTGGAGTCAGGTTGCTTCGACAAACATGTGTTCATGACCCCGCAAAACTCCATCAGGCGATAGTCTTTCCTTAAATCATCTTTGGGCTTTGCCAAAAAGGGGTATTCGTGGCCGTCACTGTCAACACAAAGCAGAACCTAAGAGTGAAGAACAGGCAATGCAGATGTTTCAAGCTTGAGGTGCGACGGCACGAGATAGCGTATCTTTATCAGTGCAATTTACTGTACACAATGCGCTACAACCCACACAAAAAGTTGTCACATGAGCCCAGAAACATGATATTCAAATAGCCCATTTTCAATGGCAATACCAAAGACACAAAATGTACTGTTGGTCAGTTGCCAGTAAGCAGCCAACGACCTGCCAATGAAGATGATTTTCTTAGGTGCCTGCAGTGAAGCCATCACGGTGATGTCATCTTTGAGCTGGGCAATTGTGACCACCTCGCCCAATGGTTTGAAGCCCTTTGTAGTGATCGCACTGTGCGGCATATTCACAACGAATGCACTCCGAACTGGGACTATCACATCCACGGGAAGCAGCCTCAACAACTCGGAAAAGTGTTGTTTAGAAGACATCTGGAGGCACACAAACACTACAATGTGAAAATACAAGAGTGGCACAACTGACTGCCTTGATGTCAAAAGTGCACCACAATGTGCGTCAGCAATAATCAGCGCAACAAAACGCCACATCGACTGCAGTTGGAGTCAATAGTCTGTGCGTTCATGTCTCTTTCTGCCCAAACCTTCAATTGCTAATGAAGCAACAATGTGCCACACTTTGTGTGCAACGCGGGTGTGAGCTTCCTACAAAGCAACTTGTGGGCAAGGATGACGCACATCTTCCTTTGGGGCATTCCTCATTTGCATTTATAGCCAGGAACTCACATAGACAATGCAGAAAGTGGCACTGCCGCTGAACACCAGCCAGAGCAGTGTTTAATAAAACATTCTGATCATACATTGGGCAAAATATTGTACACAAACTGTACACAAAATATGGCGCTTTTCCCTCCCAATTTTGATCTGCAACAATTTAAGTTATTTAGGAAAAGAGCACGAGACTGTTGGCTACCTGTCTCACAGGAGCACGGTTCTTTGTTGGAGGTTCTTTGTGACAGAGATTGATGAGCTGGTCCAGCAGCTTTAAGAAGTCGTCAATCGCGGCCCTCTCTCGTTGAGTCCTCATGGAGCTGCGCACTTGAGTGATGACGTCTGCTGCTGTCTTCCTACGGGCTTTTATTCGTGACCGATATACAGAAGCAAGATGCCACAGGGCCTGGTGGGGGTGCGCCTCAGTGATCAGACTGATCATTCTCTTTATCCAGTCCTGCACGCAATCTGCTCCTCAGTCTGAATGGCAAGACAAGGATGTGCTCTATTGCTGCATAGTCTGTTCGCTGGGACAGCGCCATTGTTGTTGGCCCATCCTAGACAACAGATCAATGATGATGTGGGGAACACCTTCCCACAGAGAAAGCAGCCATTGGTGGTGTGAAAACAAACCAACACGAATGTGCTGCTCATCTGGTTCGCTAACTGGCTGCTCCCAAATCTGGAAGCAAATGGAGAAAACCGTTGTGGGCAAGCAATCTCATACTGCTGGCCCACATTTCCGAGGCAACAAAGGGTGCAAAAACACATGAGCGAACTTTCAGAAGAGAAAGGTTCTCAAGAGGAAGCTCCTCAACTACCTTGACATCAACGTGTGGGTGCCGCAGGCGTGATACAAGAGTTGGCAGGACCATGAGCCAATAGAACGATGGCACAGACTTCCCCAAGTCCTGCATCGTTTGGTGCACATGGCGGCTGGTGCGCTCCACGTTGCTGAGAGACAACCCAGGGACTGAGGTGCTCGTAAGGCCTGTCATAATGTCGTCACCATGCTCAAAATACAAAGTCAGCATCCTTGAAAGTGACTGCATGACTCGTTTCTGTCCCAATTTGACAGCGATTCCATAGTTCTTGAGCACCTGCAAGGACACATCAATCACCTTGGTTAAGCCATGAGCCAATCAGACAAGACAAATGGACAGCGCTACAACCATAAGGCGGCAGCAGCTTTGCATCCTGTAACTGTAACTTGTGGCCAAGAGAGAGAGGATGCCTGCACAGTTCATGTCTCACCTGATGTTTCTGCGGCAGTGCACAGTGTGAGCCTGGTGGCCCCCTGAGACAAGAAGAGGCTTCCAAATCTTGCTGCAAGTTCTTTGTTAAAAGCTGCAAGCTCCATCTATGCTATCTGGGCCAGGAAAGAAAGATACAAAAGAGTTGCTTGGAGTTTCAGCAATGAACTTGCAGTGTAAGCAAAATGTGGCAAAGGGAGATGACCACAGCAGGGACGGATAGCAGTGAGCTAAAGACCTAAGTTTAACAAATACAAGCGAACAGCATTGCACAAGTCTACTTGCATCAACTTCTCAAAGTCCTCCATTGGAATATCCTTCACTGTAGTGACTGGGAGCAACACAGCCCTGTCAATCATGCACATTACTATTTGATAGTATTCAGGTCTTGTTTTGGTCGCAGGTACCATTTTCTTCATTGATTTCAGCAGTTTCACCACATGTACACCCAATTGACAAAGGGAACTGCACAACATGCAGTGCACACCGCTGTCGTCCTTGCACACCTGAGGCAGATACTCCACGTAGTGTTTGTCCTCCCCCAGCTTAACCTTTGCTTTGCCCCCAAGTCGATCCCCAACGCCTTCGTTGACAGCCACCTGGCGCTTCCTTGCATCTGCATAGACCTCACAAAGGTACCGTGCTAAACAGAGCGCTGGCTTGGACCACGTCCGATCCAGATCCATGGACCTCTCAAAAAGGGATGTCAATGTCTCCCGACTCTCCTGACGCGTCTCTGACTTCCATCGAGCCAACTGAAGCACCAGCTTCGCATGGTAGTGTGGAGATGGGCTGCGTGCAGCCTGGGTTGCTTGTGCCTCTATCGTTGCAATGGTGTGCTGTAACTCCTGGATGGCTTGGTGATGTTGATTTTGGCACCACAGGAGCTTAACACTCTCCAGCTCTGACCCTATTGCTCTGTGCTGCAATTAGAAAGCAGGAAGACAGAATGAGGGTGGGAACATCCATCTAGGGGCAAAAACATCACAATAGCACAAAACTGTGACCCAACATGTAGCAGCTCCACAATATATTGACTTGTAGAAAGGGGTATTCCACCCAATGCCCAACGTGAAAAGCAGGAACTGCAGCTATCGAGTGAGTCCACTTTACATATGCACACCTTGAGTCCCATCCATCAGTCATGCCAAGGGGATGTGCTGACTCTTTTGCTGTGTCGCTTGGAGCTGCACTAATTTACGTTGTCAGCATATTTAGCTGTCAGGTCCAGTGCAACCATAGGCATCCCCAGTTTTCTCAACAGAAAAGAAATTCTGCTGACAGCTGCCATCACTGCTCTCCTGCTGCTCAAAATTTGTGGAAATTCTATGATCCACATGCTGCAGCTCACCCGAACAGCCATCATTGCAGCGAAATTTGCTTGCCCGTATTGCGAAGCGGCCCTTAGGCTCTTTGCAAGCAGCAGCCAGCAACGCGCCACTGTGGCTGTGTCATCCATCCAAAGCGCCAGCTGACGTCGAAGTGCTAGAATGGGCTCCTGGGTGGACACGGAAGGCTCCACCACTTCCAGTCGCTCTTCCCAGCGCAACATTCGAGCACGCTCGATGGGACCTGGATGAGGGTCCCTCTGGACATAAATCAAGCCGCCGATGAGGCACCAAGTCAGAGAACTTCCTGGTCACGGTTTTGAAGTTACTGTTCAATGAAGCACTGTCAGTGAGGTATTCAAGCGCTGCAAACCACCAATTAGGCAACATCTATTTATGGCTTCCGCTCTTGGCCCAAGAAAACAGCTCATCAACAAAACTACAGTTTATAATTGTAGGCTAATGCTGCTGCGCACCTCGATGATCGCACAGGCGTCCTCCAGTTCCTGCAACATGTGCAACCGAACCATGAGAGGGTAGGCCCGTGAATATGACTCAGTGGCGGCTGCCGCAAGAGGCTTCATGATGCTGGTTCTTGCATCCTGGATGCCTGCATGAATTGCCATGTAGTCGTGCTTGTGCATGGATGATAGAATACGGCCAACACGGACTTCCCAATCTTCCTGATGTGCACAAGACAACTCCCATGTCAGACACCAGCAAAACACAACTGAAGGGGGAACAAAGACTACTGATTCTCTTTGATCTGACAGGCTGTTGGCTGCGTTTTAAGGAAATAATCACTGCAAAATCGTGTCAATGATGATCTGACTTCATTGAGGACTATCAACAGAACATGATCTACATACCCCAAGGCTTGAAAAAGCATCTACAGGAAAGATTGAATACCCAACAACATGGCAACGGCATATCATGCAGGCGCACTGGGAATTGGAACATGTGGGACCAATCACTAGAGAATGTGCATATCACCCAGTATGGCCGTCCAGGTTGGGTGCAGAACACACGCTACTCCATACTGTCACATTTGTCAAGTCTGTAATCAACCGTCACAACTTCCACAATTCTTGTAATACATGGGCAGTTCCCATGTTAATAATATTTGCAACGTGTTTGTAGTGTGTTCACCTGCGGGTTCAGACACTGGAGGGGTTTAGCGGCTGGTTGCTGCACTTGGGCAAAGTCCAGGTTGGCCAAGCATTCGTCCAGATCGGCCCACTGCCCTAGGCGCCAGGCAGCCGCAACACCAAGGGCTCGGATCTGTGGGCAGTCCCCGTTGGATGGCGACTGCGCATGTGCCAGGACATCCAACAGTCGTCCAGCTTGGGCGAGGCATCGAGTGCGACTGATGCGCAACCACTGGCGCGATTCGGACTGCGAGCATGGACCTACAGCCAGGTGCTTGGTTCAGGCATCGCAAACCACAGTGACAGCCAGTGCATGGAAGCAAAGCGACACTGATTAACAACTGTGCATAGCTGGGGGGCAGGTTTGCGCAAATGTCCGACACCCCAAATTTGGGAAACAGTGTCACAGCAGAAGAAGATTTTGAAACCCAATGGAGATGATAATATGTAACTTTGCGTTGTGGCTTCTTCGTGGTCTCCAAGCTACTGGGCCCACAAGGTGGGGATACAATCTGTGCACAAACAAAATGCATTGGTCCTGAAAGCAGGCGGTGCTCTGTCGTGCCCCTTGTTTTGTGCAGGACAGTATACATCACTGACTTGCCTATTTGTTTAGTGTCTCCTGTCTGGGACATCAGGACAACGAGGTCTTGTGCCATGTGACCGGCACTCCCTTGGACTACAGCATGTTCATACAGGCTGAGGGCCTTGTCCCAGAGTCCAGCCTTTTGTGCCACCATAATCTGGTCTTGCACCTCAAGACCGCCTTTTCGCATGTGCACAAGCCCATGGACACCATCCGGCTCATCCATCTGACTGTAGATCTGAAAATGTACACAGTACACTTGAAGCATTGGAACTGCATTTGTACAATGAATATCTTGATATCGGGTTGTACCCAAATGCGCATGGAGAATGGAACACATTTGAGGAGTGGCAATGCTCAAAACGGCTCAACACAAAATGTCAGTTGAAAAGCAGGGAGCCAATTGTAGTGATGCTGTTCCTCACATCAATACACCGCATTCTCAGCACAGAATATGGTGCATGGGACGCAATTTGACTCTCCAAAAGGTACTGAGTGCAAGGGAATCCAAAAGTAGAACATGCAGTTTGAAATAGGAGAAGGAGAAGGTGCGATGTTGCAAATTGTATGATGTTATCACAGCCTACCTGGAGAAGAAAAGATATTTCCTCTTCACTAAATTGTGGACTGCATAAAGCTGCGGGGTTTAGACCACAACCACTGGCAGCCAGGATGTGCGCCTCAAAATAACGGAAGGCACGTGCATGGGCACCACAGAGGAATCCAACTTCGGCGAGTTGCTTGCGATCAATGCTCCCCAACAATGTAGAAACACGGCTCAAGGCAGCCTGTGCACTGGAATGCACAAGCATAAAAAAGCACGATCACACGATGAGCAGGACACAACCATGAATGCAGTCGAGGCATCCTGCAGCATGCAGGGCTAGATTTATCACAGTTCATATACACACCTGATGTGGAACATGGGATCTGTTGGGCAACCTGCCCTTAGTGCAATAGCAATACATGCAGATGCGAATTAAATCAGGAAGAGCTTACTTGCCACCGGTGCCACCATTTCCTTTGGCAGCAACCTCCAGCCAGGTTTTCAAACTATCCAGCAGCATGAAGACCACTTGCAGCTTCTCACTGTCCAATTTCGTTCCAGCATCACGAACGCATGATTCCTGCCCAAAACAGAACCTTTAGCAGCACAGCTCTGTGTTGTGTTAGGCTGGCTGCCAATTTGCTAACATTCACCACTTGTGGGTGTGCGTCACTGTCGCAACTTCCAGCACAGACATGACAAGTACATTCTGCAGGTACTCCCCACACTAAAACGTTGCAATGTGCCTCCACCATGTGCAAGACTAAGGAAAGTAAATCCACACAAGGCACAATGCAACAGTGTTGGGGCATGTGGCTCAAAAAATGCCCTATGGCTTTTCATGATTGACACAGTCTGTGTCGAAACTGAGCCTTTTCGGGCTTCTAGAATACCTGCAAGATTGCTGTGATCTCATCCTGGAGGGACTGGCATGCAGCATCTCCACCCCACGCCATCACACTGTATGCCAGAAAGGGCAAAACGAACATCATTGCTGTTATGTCGAATCTGCATGCCCACAGAAGAAAGGCAGTGAGACTCCATGTCACATCGAGGCCAGCGTGAGTGCCATATTTATTTGTCTCATTACCACAATTTGTGCTCAAACAGCCTAC